GGCCCCAAATAAAATACGGATTCTGGAACAGGATGGATATCAGAGAATGAAAGGCCGAACGGACTTACAACATCCTTGGGTGCGTGAGTGACGCGGGTCCCGTGGCCCAGATTCCGTTTGTCCGTTGTTTATGGTTGTCATCGTCCCCCCCGCAATCCACCCGCGACCCGCCCGCGACCCACCCGCGACTCACCATCGACCAACCCACCCCGCGTCCGCCCCCTCAGTCAAGTCCAACATTGCGGGGTGCTACATGTAGCCCAGGGGGCCCGGTTGCAAAACAACGCCGTCGAAAACATGCGCACGATTGTTCTCCATGGCCCCTCTCCTTTCTCCGATCCGTTTTTTAATGCGGCGCGGACTTAACACAACACCGCAAAGAGCTAGTGCGATACATGAATACAGTATGCCGACTTCGGCAAGGAGTACGCGAATTGAACTGGTCGGGAACAGCAAGGGAAGGTTGGGCAGCGAGGCGCGAAAAGAGCACAGGGTCCGAAGGCCTTAGAGGATGCGCCCGCCAGGCCGCAGACAGTCTCTAAGCCTGGGGTTACCTCGAAGACCCTCGCAATACCATCTGACAAGCACCCAACATCCCCCTTAGCTTATCCACGCAAGCCGTGTCAAAGTAAAGAACCCGAGCGGCGCGAATAAAACAGTACAGGCGACTCTAGAAGTAGGCGCGAAGGAGACAGCGTACAGATGTTGAGCAAAGTGTGTAAGGGCTGGCACAGTCTGTGTTGGCTTGTCCTGCGACGTAGAAAATATAGCAATTCTTGGGCTGCTACCCTTTCTGTTCGGGTCCTTTGGGGGAGGCCCATTTTCACCGTTCCAGTGCATAGGGGTGGCGTCACTGTGGCCACCATTGTGGTTCTTGCGCCCCCTTTGAGAGTAGAGACCTGCAACTGTGCGATGTGGTGATATGCAGAACAGAGAAGCTGTGCGTTCTGAAGCGTCAACAAGAAAGAACACACAGATGTTGCCTGAAGCTGGCACTGTAAAGGCTGGCCGAAGTATTTGGCAGCTTGGTCCTACGCCATCAAAGCCAATCCCCTCCCCAATGGAAAGGAGAGCGAGCGGAATACAAGAGCGATCACGAAGCAGGCGCCTAAAAAGGCTGGCCGAGTATGGCGTCCGTGGAACGGCATGAAAGCATAGCGTGAGTCACGTGCAGCACGTCGGCAAACAGCAGCGACCGGCGCGAAGATAGGGAAGCAGGGAGGTATCACAAAAGCATCCCCCGCCTCCCCTGCCTCCTCCAGCCCATCGTCCTCGTAATCCTGCACCTCCCAGCCCCCTGCTACCGCCGCTGCGCATCCTCCTCCTCCTCCTTCCTCCACCCCCTTGCTTCGCCTCCTCTTCTTCATCCTGCAGCACCTCCACGTCCTCCTCCATTTCCATGTCCTCCTCCTCCTCCTCCTTCTCAACATCTCACCCTACATCATCGCGTCCTGCTGAACAGATGCTGCGTCAATGCTCTGGCCCCTCCCTTCCCGGCCTAGGCACCTCCTCCCATTCCTCCCCCCGTCACATTCCTGAAGCTCTCCTCCTCCTCCTCCTCCTCCTCCTCCTCCTCCTCCTCCTCCTCCTCCTCCTCCTCCTCCTCCTCCTCTCCCTACCCCTCCTTCCGCTGCTGCAGCTGCAGATCCTCATCCGCATGCTAGCCCTCCTCTCCTGTCCCTTTTCCCTTTTGCTAGCCCTGGAGCAGCTCACGGCTTAAGCTTCCGCCATCCATTCTTCGAGCTGTAAGGACTGCAAACTGGCAGAGCCGAGATACCAAGGAAGTGGCAAGCGATAACCCGATGTTGAAGAGAAGCTGTTCTCAAATAGTGGGGTTGGTGCGCAACGTCGAACTGCTACTTGGAAAAAGCCGATAGCGCAGAGCGCATCAATAGAGAACACACGCGTTGAAAAGAAACCGCTCTCCGCACGCGTCGCGGATGAAACAGTTCAAAACAAGTGCGTGCGGGAGCAACGGTAGGGGGGACTGGCATAGGCGGGGATGCATCGACCTGGAATCATCGATACATCTCCGATAGATCGGCGATAGGCTCCCGATAGTGAATCCGCACTCTCCTGTGCAGGCTGGGGCTGTCGGACCCCTACAGGCAATCAGTGGGCGATTGGATGTCGATGCATCACCCGCTATGCCTATCTCCCCCCTATCGTTGCCCCCGAACCAGAAAGGTCACTCCGGCGACAGGTCATTCTCACGTGCAGTCGAGAGAAGGAGGACAAGAAGCAAGAGGGGCGGGAGCGGGACGCACACCCGGGTCCCCCACGCCCGGCGCCCTGCTGATCAGCACCACGGTGTTCGGGCCGAGGTCGTTACTCACGACCACGCTGCCCTCCCACGCGTTCCTCCTATCCTCCTCGCCTCCTCCGTCCTCCGTCCTCATCCTCCGTCTTCTGTCCTACTCCACCTCGGGAGGGCGGGACGAAAGGGGAGGATGCGAAAAAGGAAAGGGCGCGGATAAAAACAGAGATGTGAGGAAGTAAGGGGATGGGAGTGAGGACCGAGGACAATCACGACATCGGGACGGGCATTGCAAGAGCGACGGCCATATAGGATGAAGGGGATGGAAAACTTGAGGGTCCAACAAAGGTGTTCGTTCAGCCCTAGGACAACCGCGCGGCAGCGCAACATCAGGAGGACCAGAGGGTGCAGGGGGGAACAACAGCAGTCACGAACTCGGAGAAGAGGAGGAGGCGGAGGAGGAGGAGGAGGAGGAGGAGGAGGAGGAGGAGGAGGAGAGGGAGGAGGGAGGAGGAGGAGGAGGAGGAGGAGGAGGAGGAGGAGGAGGAGGAGGAGGAGGAGGAGGAGGAGGAGGAGGAGGAGGAGGAGGAGGAGGGAGGAGGAGGAGGAGGAGGAGGGAGGGAGAGGAGGAGGGAGAGGAGGAGGAGGAGGAGGAGGAGGAGGAGGAGGAGGAGGAGGAGGGAGGAGGGAGGAGGAGGAGGAGGAGGAGGAGGAGACGGAGGAGGAGGCGGAGGAGGGAGGGTCGTAGGAGGACAAGGGGGACCAAGGAGGGGGACGGAAGAGGGTGGGAGCCAGCCGCCCACTCGTCCGCAGCGGCCGGCGCCTCTGGAGGAGCAGCCGCAAGGCCAAGGGGCCTAGGGCCCGCAGCGCAACCCTGCCCCAGGAGGCCTCCAGGAGCCCCTGCCGCGGGGCCTCCACGAGCCCCTCCGGGAGGCCCCGGACGCTCCAATTCCTGGATCCTCGGCCTTCGACCCTCGAACTTCGAATCGAGGAGCAGAAGCGCCTCGATCGTCGACCTTCGACCGTCGATGCCCACCTCGCAACTCAGAAGCAGCCTCGTGGAGGGGCGGGCCGGGAGGCCTTCCGGGGCCAGCGCCAGGGCCTGCGGAACCGCCCCCGCCCCCGGAGGCGAGGCCTGGCCGCCGTGCTCGGTCAGCCTCGAGACGCTCTCCGCGGAGAGGTGCACGCCGGCGCCGAACATCTCCAGGGGCGGTCGGTGCACCCTCCACCTCCATTTTCCCCTTCCTCTTCCCGCTCCTCCTCCTCCCGCTCCTCCCCTTGACCCTCCTCCCCGCCCTTCGCCCCCATCCTTGCCAGACCGTTCAGACCTGGCGGGCACTCTGTCATTTCGTGAACAACTGGTGACGGCTTCCGACTTAGAGACCCAAGGGCGGTTCAGGTGGCCCCAAGGAGGACGAGGAAGGGAAAGCACGAGGAGGCGTCATGCCACTGGTCGCAGCAAAACCATACAAGTTCAGACCTGGAGCACCCAAGTCACAGACATGATGAAGAAGCTGAGAGATCCACCTCTTCAACTGCACCTGCACCTTCCCACTCCGCGCTCGGGTGCGTGAAGTCTTGGATGAAATTTCCTGTGGACCGCCCTCCAGGACTTGGGGAACGAAAGTGCGACTTCTTGCTGGCAAGCAAAATCGCGTCCAACAGCTGGCGATCGACCTGGTCCGTGGCCCCCTCAACTTGGCTGAACACGTCGGGCATGCATGTCGCACTCATGCACCTCCCTGCAAGTGACCTCTGGTTTGGGAGCTGCCTTCTGCCCGAAGGAAGTGATGAACACACTCAAGAGATCACCGCACTTCGACGCCAGGCTGGTCGTAGCTTCTGATGCACGCGAGCCTGCCAGCATAGTTCGAACCTCGCGCATGTGGCTGCGGAGCACTTCGAGGTCTGGCATTTGGCCAGGAGGACATTCGACAACTTTGGCCGCCACCGCCCGCTTAGCCACCGCAGCCGCTTGGCGCTCGGCCTCGACCTCCTTCTCGGGCTCGGCCTTGCGGCCCTGCAAGTGTTCAAGCTGGCCCACCAGAGCGGCACGCTCGCATTCCAGCTTCTCGATGTTCTTCCCACGACGCGACGCCTCCTGCTCAGCGCGCCCACGGTGACGAGACAGGGGCAACGGTTCTTGATGAGCCTGCTCGGCCTCACTGGAAGCCTTGGTGGTGGCCGCGCAAGACGCGGGCGGCAGCATGTCCTTGTAACGCTGCGTGGCGCACATCTGCTGACGGCGATGATGCCCGCCCATGGCACACTCAGGTGGTGCCCGGACTCTCGCCCGCCACGAGATGACCGCAGCTGAGCTCCCTGTCCAAGACCTCTCCCTGGGCCGCTGCCCTTCTTGCCCTGCCTCCCTTTTTCCCTCTGGGCCCGTGGAGCACCCGTGGCGGGCGCGCCCGCCCATCCGCGGGCGGAGGGAGGGGGGATGAGGTCGAGAGCTTGCGTAGGAGGAGTTTGTTTTGTCCGACGCGCGCCGACCGAGCGTGACGCAGCCGGAAGCCGCGCCCACAGCGCAGAGGCGCCGTGCCCAGGCGCAGCGGGTTCTCCTGGCGGGCGCTCGGAAGGGGCAGGCGAGGCCTCTCCCTCGGCCATCCTGCGCAGGCCAACCGCCTGCACGGGGCCACGCCCCATGCGCGCGCGGCTGGTGAGATGAGCAGGCGCTCGAGCCTGTCACAGCACGCGTGGGCACTGTGGGGCCCGTTCCCGTGCGCGCAGCACACACACACACACACACGCCAGCGGGACCTTTTTTTTCGAGAGCGGTTGGGTCGTTCAGGACGGGTTCAACCCCACCCTTGAGCCAAAAAGGCTACGGACCCCGCGTCCTTCCCATGCTCCTCCTCACGCTCTTCTTCGCCGTTTTGCTTCTCATCCCGCCCCTCGTCGTCACCAACGTCAAAGCCGACGTCCTTGTCGTCGGCGTCGTGGTCGTTCCCCTTCAATTTCTACGACCGTCGCCTTCGGAAAGAGCCCAATCGAACATGTCAACCGGCGCGTGGATGAGAACCAACCGCGTCAAAGAACACGCTTTGCGTGTTATTGGGGCGCCTGATCGCCAAAGTCCCGATCCTGTCCCCGAAGCAGGTCTTTGACGGTCTTGGTGTCCTGAGTGCCGGGTAGGCCACCCAACGGCCGACAGCGAACAAACAAAACCTCTGTATAGAGCTCCCCGCCAAGAGAAGTGGGCGAGGGAAAACTGGAATTGTTCGTGTGTGCGTGAACAACGCAAACTTCCCGGCTTACGGAAGGAGCTCCCAACTGCAGCCAACCAGGGGAAAAGGAGAGGGAGGAGGAGGAAGAGGAGGAGGAGGAGGCGGAGGAGGAGGGGGAGGAGGAGGGGGGGGAGAAAAAGGAGGAAAAGGAGGAGGAGGAGGAGGAGAAGGAGGAGGAGGGAGGAGGAGAGGAGGAGGAGGAGGAGGAGGAGGAGGAGGGAGGAGGAGGAGGAGGAGGGAGGAGGAGGAGGAAAAGGAGGAGGAGGAGGAGGAGGAGGAGTCTTTCTTCGCCGCACCGGACGCACAACACGAACAGCACCTCCTTGTCAGTAGCGCCAGGCCGCGCACGCGCAAGCAAACTGCAAGCGAGATGACAGGAATCATGGGACAGGGCGCAGCGGCAGGGGCGGCAAGATTACTCGGTGGACCATCTTCGGGGCACCCCGGCGAGTGAGTGACAGGAGAGAAGAGAGAAGGCACACATTCGAAACGAGTGGGCTCTCCACTGGTCGAAGCGAGCCTGGCGACGAACCTAAGCCAGGCCGAAGAGCCCGTTCCAACCCGCACAGCCACCAGCAGCGGCACGAGCTCAGGGGAGGTATACTTGCAGAGAAGACACGCAGGAGGGGAGCAAGCAGCAACACCAGCGAAGAAGCTTCAGTTGCAGATGAGCACACAGGGCCCGATCCCTTGCGGCTGCCACCGCCCGTCCGCTTGAGGCGACCACTGCCTGTCCGCCTGAAGCTGCCACTGCCCGTCCTTTTTGCACGCACGGTCTCGGTCTTCTTGAAGCTGCCCGTCGGCCTGGGGCTGCCACTGCCCGTCCGCTTGAGGCTGCCACTGCCCGTCCCCTTGACGCTGCCTCTTCTCAGGGGTCACAGCCACGGGGGGGGGAGGGATCCCCAGGAGAAATCGAGGACCCAACAGGCTGCCAGCGTACTCGCCTTCGGGAGGACAGCCAGTGAGCGCGAGGTCCACACAAACCTCCGCGAGAACACCTCCAGCGCGGCAGGCGCGCTTGCAGGGGGGCGCCTGGTGCTTCTGTGGAACCCTGCAGCGGGGAGCGGGCACAAACGCCAGCATGGGAGGGCGCCCGAGCTGGCGGTTCGAGTGCTAGGCCGATGGACGCCGCCTCCCTCGCGAGAGAAACCCTTGAAGCACGCGGCGACGAGGACTTCGCCTGGTCACGCAGGAAGCAGCGGATGCCGGGAGATCGGGGCGGTGGAGGACAGGAGGAGGATGCCACGGAGGATGAGGAGGAGGAGGAGAAGGAGAAGGAGTAGAAGGAGGAGGAGGAGTAGAAGGGGGAGGAGGGGGAGGAGGAGGAGGAGGAGGAGGAGGAGGAGGAGGAGGACGACGACGACGACGACGCCCTGACCCTCTGTGGTTGGCCCCGTTGGTTTTCCGGCCATAACTCGGGCCTCTGGCAGCCAGTCTGAACGACCTGAACACATTTGGAGCGATCTCGACGCGGTACAAGCGCTGAAAAACATCTCAAGGTCGGAAAACAGCCGGGAAACAACGAGACAGTCCGAAAAGCTCGAACCTGATTTATGTCATATGGAGTCTCCGGAAGTCCTGACCCTTTCCACAGGACCGGCTTTGCGTCCTGACTTTCTTTTGTGGACAGGGGTCAATGCAGACCCAGGTCAGTCAAGCTCCCCAAGATACTGCAGGATACTGCACGCACGCCCGGGTCCATGCAGCCCTGGCTCCGCAGGATCTGGCAAGATCCGGCAAGATCTGGCTGACCCCCCCTTTGAGCTGACCCCCGAAGGCATGCCATCCAAAGCAGCATGCCTCTGTCGCCTGTCACCTGGCGCTGTACTCGCTGAGGGCTCGAGGGGCTCGAGAGGTCATCCGCGGAGGCCCATCCGCGGCGCGTGGCGGCAGCGGCGCGCCGCCTCGTAGAGCCCCCTGCGCGGCTCCAGCCGCCCCCAGGGGCCCTGGGACGGGGGTCCGCAAGGGGCCCTGAGACGGGGGTAAATGCAGGAGGAGGAGGAGGAGGAGGAGGAGGAGGAGGAGGAGGAGGAGGAGATGGAGGAGGAGGAGGAGGAGGAGGAGGAGGAGGAGGAGAAGGAGGAGGAGGAGGAGCAGAAAAGTCATGTCTGCCTGGGCGCGAGAGGTGACCCCCGTCTCGTGGCTGCCCCCCCCGAGCGGCAGAGGGCAGGCGCGGGGGCGGCCACGGGCGGGGGGGCCTCGTCGCCCGCGGGAGCCCAGGACGGCGTGGGGCGCTCGGGCGGAGCCTCCGCGGCCTGTGGTGGCGGGGGGAGCGGCCGGGAGTTGGGAGGAGGAGCTCGGGTGGATGGGGTGGGGGATGGTCCGAGGGGTCACGAGGTCGAGGGGTCGAAGGATCGAGGGGTCACGGATCGAGGGGAGGCCGAGGGGTCGAGGGGTCGAGGGATCGAGGGGTCGAGGGAATAGGGGAGTCGTAGGATCGAGGGGCCGAAGGATCGAGGAGCCGAAGGATGGAGCAGTCGAAGGATCCAAGAGGGGTCGAAGGGTCGAAGGGAAGAGGAACCGAGGGATCAAGGTCGAAGGATCGATGGGTCGAGAAAGTCGAGGGATCGGGTCGAGGGGCAACGACGGGCCCTAGGTCGCCTGACGTCGCCGGTGGCGCCCCCCGCAATGCGCGACGCGTGGTGCCCTTCCCGACCCAACGCCGCCGCCGTGGAGGAAGGGACGCCTTTGCGACCCGGCCTCAACGCGCGAAGCTTCGCGCGGGTATCGACGGGTCGAAGGTCTGAGAGGGTAGAGGAGGAGGGGGGAGGAAGGACAGGCGAGGAAGGGGGAGGAGGAGGGGGGAGGAGGAGGAGGAGGAGGAGGAGGAGGAGGAGGAGGAGGAGGAGGAGGAGGAGGAAAAGACCGATGGTCGAAAAGCGGCGGGGAGGGGGTGGGGATCGAGAAAGGGGAGGAGGAGAAGGAGGAAACATAATCGAAGGCCGAGAACAGGGGGGAGGAAGATCAAGCATCGAAGATCGATCGGCCAGAGGGTTGGGCATCGAGGACCGAGGAATTCAGTTGCGCATTCTGGGGCGTCCTCGCCGCCACGGCTGGATTACCCTACGTGTCTGGTCATGGCGCGCCCGCGTAGAGCACGGGATGCGGGTGGTGAGAAGGCGAGGAGACTGACACAATATCCGCCTTGCTGGACATGTGTTGCACTCGAAGCGGGCCTCTGAAGACTCCGAGGGATGGTAGTGAGGAGGAGGCGCTACGGGGAGGAAGCAAAATTAATGTGGCGTTATGGCGGACCCGTTGCTCCCAAGTGCTGGCCTGGCCACTCCCGCCTCTGGCGGGGGCCCACGCCCAACACGAGTCAATGCCCCGAGCCCCTTTCGGGCGGGCTGCTAACATGGCGTTCGGCGCCTCCTCATGCTGCTCACAGCAACGCACACGCGGCTAGCACAAAAGAGCCCGCCATTGAGAATCGGTTTTGCCTGAGTCTCATGGCGCTGCGTGGCAAGTGGGTGGAACGACGGGTCACTGTCATCGGCCCCAGGACCATCGGCAACCAACCGTCCTCGAGGGGAATGGGCAACACGCAAGGGCTTACCGGCCGCACAAAAAGCCAGGCCACCAAGACAGAAAACACACCCTGGTGCTGGGAACGGGCACATCAAATACTACACACCATTTACACTGGGCAACGACCTCCGAACATCACGCGCTCAAGACGAATCTGAACACTGGTGAGCGCTCTGCGCTCGCACCTGTTCATGCCCAGTGCTCGCCCGCGCTTTGTCTCTCCCCCTCTATTTTGTTGTTTTGGTTGTTCTCTCTCTCTCTCTCTATATATATATATCTGTTTTTCTCGGGGTCAGGTGGTAAACCCGTCACATGGGATACAAACTAGCCTCCTCGAAACCACACTGCCCACTTTCTCAGCTTGGTGTGGCGGCGGCGAATTCAGGAGGGGCGGCAGCTAGCTGGGCTGCTTCCCCAGCGCAGGCGTCAGCTGCAACATCCATGAGCTGTTCAAATATGGTTAAATGCTGGGCGTTGGCTGGGGCTCTCGTTTGGTGGCCCTTGGCCCATCTGAAATTTAAATCCACGCTACCTTGCATACCTCCGAAGACATCTCGAAATCGAACCCACAGGTCCAGCATGTCGGACTTCATCAAGGCTTCCCGTGGCTTCCTGGAACCTTCGATGGCCTGCCAATCGTGAACGAAAACGAGTGCAAGTCCAAGGGTATACTGCAATGCAAATATCAGAGCCAGCAGCTCTGCCAGCGGAGAGGACTGCTCGGTTCCACCAGGCCCGTCGATGTCATCCAAGACCCTGAAGAGTCTTAAGCACGCCCTACCTCGCCGCCCAACCTCACCGCCTTAGTCGTGCATGCCGAGGTCGGACTCAAGATTCACGTGGCTCACGACGCTTAGCTTTACTCCGCCCATCTACACAGGAAGCTGCGCCTGCGTCATCAACATCCTTCTTATCATCCTCTTTCTGCTTTGCATATCGTACCATAGTTTCAGCTTCATGTAGTGCAACGCGTGCTCCGGACAGCTGGTCCTGGAAACTCTGGACACGATGTTTGCGCTGATGGGCGCCCTGCGACGCAAGCCGAACACTTTTGGCAACAGTACCCACCTTTCGCGGGAGCTTGGTGTGCGCACGACGCGCGTCATCCGACATGTCAGCCTCCGTCCAATCGAACTCCTTCTGCGTAGTGACCAAAATTCCAAGTTTGTCCTTTGAGTCAGATCCCGCAGCATGAAAGACTTGGACAGCACCACGTAGCGTTTCTGGCACCTCGTGCTTCGGATTGCCCCTTTCATGTCCTGCTCATTCCTGCCTCGCATGTTTGCTACATCGCTTGAAATATTTGCTGCAATGCGAACAACACCAACTCCCAGAATGTTGATCTTCCCAAGGGCCGCGTACTGCTTCTGCTTATAATCACCACTCCGCCTCTGACGCGCCCTGACTCGAGCTGGGGCCGCCGCGCCACGGGGCACTGGTGCGCCAGGATAGGGCGCGAGAGACTGCAAGAACCGAGGTGCGAAATGGAAGTCTACAATGAAGAGAAAGAATTGCCAGACCTTCAAAAACGTTCTGACTGCTGCGACCTAGCGGTGCGACACGATGCGATGCGACCACCGTTGCGGACAGCGTCCGGGCCTAGAGCAGACCAGGTGGGTGAGGCCATGGCCTCTAGGATCTGAAGTGTCTGGATTCATGCAATGCGAGACATGTAAAAAGTTAGGAGGAGAGGGGGAGGAGGAGGAACAGAAAATCCTTGGTGTCGGTGTCGGCGCGGGTTGGGCGAGATTACGTCATTGGTCTGAGTCCCGGGTGCTGGTCGACGTGAGGTCGGTGAAGTGGAGCTGAATGGATGTGAACTTGCATATGGAGCTGAAGCGGCTACGGGGAGGAAGGGGTGAAGGAGGAGGAAAGAGGGTAGAGAAGAAAATATGAGGGGAGAGCTAGAGGGAGAGAGGGGCGAAGGAGGAGGACGATAATGACGAGGAAGGAACGACATAGCTGCATCCACGCCGCGGCCGCTCTAGCATCTCATTGCCGCGACGGCGGCTGCCCGTACTTCCGTGCGGTACGACGGAGAGGCAAAACGAGCGGGATCATTCGCTTGATCCGGTTTCAGCTTACAGTTGCGGTGCCTGCTCACGACATGATGTTTGACATCAGGGACCATGCCCAAACCCACAAGAATGATGGGGGACCTTGTGAGGCAGCCACGGGGAACAGGCGATAAAGTGGATCGACCGTGCCTAGGGGGCAACAGTCTGGCCGCACGCTTAGTGGTCAGTGGCGTGCACGGCTGCTGCTACTGCGGCGAGTTGCTCGAAAGGGTCCGCTGCGGTCCGCGAACCAGCATCGCTTCGAGTTTGTGGTAGGTATGAAAGCAAGCATACAACTGCCGATGACGTGGATGAGGGCGATGACAGGAGAGGTCGTGGGCGAGCTCATCCGGGCCCGGGCAACCACAAGGACACGAGGATACAGACAGGGACGGGACTCGGCAGGCGGGCCGACGTGGTCAACTATCCCCTTTTGCTCCAAATGCGGGCGGAGCGCGACCAGCAGTCATCGCCGCCGCCGTTTCGTCGTCGACGTGGCCGTCGTCGTCGACGTCGACATTGCCGTCGCGACCGACGCAATCCAGGGAGGGCAGAAGCGAGGCTTGAGGAGAGAATCTCAAAATTGGTCGAATGTTCTTGATGGGCCCCAGAGGCTTTACCCGTGGCCGCGGACTGGTGCAGATCGAAACTGGTCCACATGACGACCTCCTCCCCGTTCACCACCTTTCTCTCGTGAGCGTTATCTTATTCGGCGTTTCGACATTGGCCGGCTGGAAGGGGGGGGGGAGGAGGGGGGAGGTCTGTCTCCAGACCTTGCTTCATGCGTCTGTTTGAAGCAGCGCGTGCTTTGGAGGACTTGCGGCAAGAGGAGACTCCACCCGCCTGAAACGGGAGCCAACCGAAACAGCCAGGATCTACTCCACTGGGGGCGGAAGGCGGGGGAAGGGGGGGGGCGTCCGAGGGCCCGCGCCGATCGGCAAAGCAATGCATACGAAAACGGTCGCCCCGCAAGAGACATCGGCCGTCCCGTGGCCCGCGCCGCCGCGCCCGCCGCGCGCCGCGCGCGGGAGGCGCGGGCCCCCCCCGGTCCACCGGGGGGCCCCGTGTCCGAAGTGCGGGGGAGGAGGAGGGAAGGCGAGGAAGCGTGGCCGGGCCGCTCGTCGGATGCGGAGTGGCATCGCTGAGTGGCAGCGGAGGTACAGTACAGGCTGTCGGGCAAGGAAGTGCCTGTGCACCCTTTGTCCGCAGCGCTGTATGCTTCGCAGTCTCCTCCAGCTTCCGGGAGGCCGGTCTCGCCCGCCCGCGCCCGCCCACCTCCTCCTCCTCCGCCTCATCCTCCCAATGCTGCCCACCCACTCCTCCCCTTCCCCACATCATCCACATCCTTTTTCCTCGACCGCATGGGTGATCGGGACGCCGTCCACGTTGGCCACCATGTTTTTTGTATCGCATGTCTTGAATCAGCCATGTAGGCCGGAATGGATCCCAACCAGTGAAGCCTTGCAATGTGGACAATGTAGTGTGAGCAATGTGGCGACATGTATGTTGTGATTGCTTGCGGCTGTGAGCCATGTTGTGTGAGATATGCTGTGTAATCTATGGTGTGGCAACTGTGTTGCATAAAGTGGTGCGCCATATGCGGTGCGGGCTATATTGTGTAGGCTACGTGGTGCGCGGGCGATGTGGTGCAAGATCAGCTGCGTGATAGTTGTAGTGTAAGTTTTGTTGGGTAAGTTCTGTGGTGTGAGCAATGCACTGGTAGCTCAGCCACTGATGCGATGTGGTGCGAGCAATGTGTCGTGCGTGCTACGCGCTGCAAGCTACTTGAGCGCACAGAGCGCCCGCGAGGCGCACCAGAGCGGGCACGGGCACCGTCGCAGCGACATCCCAGCCAACCCGTCCCAGAACACGGGGGGCGCCCACGAGGCACCCAGAAGCGGGCACCTGGCGGCGCGCACCCGGGCATCCCCTCGAACAACTTGAGCACCCAGCGTGAAAGCCCCTTCGTGCAGGCTCTGCTTGGGGAGTCGTCTGGTACGGCTGATGGCGCTCAGGTGCGGCCCCCCGAGCGAAGCCGCAAAAATATGCCATGCGCCACGCGCTCGCAATTCACAAGATGCGGCGGTGGCGTATTCGCCAACCGCGAAGCTCAACGAAGCAAGGCAAGTCAATGATACAACATTGTCGGTCGGGACACGGTCACATTTGTGCAAGACCCAGCCGCCCACCAAGACCACCGTCCGAGAAGACATGGCAGTCATGGCAATTCAGCAGCTCTGTCGCAACGTGACTCGAAGCGCGCTGTCCCTCTGAAGAACCCCTTCCCCTCCTCTTCCCCCCCCTTCCCCCCCCCTCCCGTGATGATGCACAGTCGTTACCATTTTGCCGAATCGGCGCCCAAGCCCGAGCTTGGACCACAAGAAGGCCCACCATTCTGGAGCCTGGAGCCACCATTCTGGAGCCCTCGCCGAGCTCCGGGTGCTGGAGAGAAGCCTGGACCCTCAAGGGGAACGGGGGCAACACCATAACGGCAAGGAAAGGACACGCCGCACCTCTGCCCCGAGCCCGCCAACGTAGCTGACGACAGTGAGGCCAACCCAAAGATCCGACGTATTGGTTTTGTGACACGCGGTCCGGAACGTCCCGGCCCCTCCCCAGAAGGTGGGCTCTGCATCCTGAATCGTGTTGGACGGTCCGGGGGCTCGGGGCGAAGGATCCCGGAGGCAGAAACGACGGGAAGCCTGCGTGTTTAGATAACGAGAAAAGCGCCATAAACATAAACTTCTGGCGCTCCACGCGGATTTCTTGGATCCGCGATGGACCCCCCTTCCTAAAGCGCGGATCCAAAACATCCGAGCGTAGCGCAAACAGTTTATGTGTGACGGAGGAGGAGGAGGAAGGAGGAAGGAAGGGGAAAGGAAGAGGAGGAAGGGGAAGAGGAGGAGGAGGCGGAAGAGGAGGAGAAAGAGGCAAAGGAGGAGGAGGAAGAGGATGAGGAGGAGGAGGAGGAGGAGGAGGAGGAGACTGCGTTAGAGGTCTGGGGGCGGCGTTGCCGCCGCAGCCGCTGCCAGCGCCCGCCCCGCCGCCGCCCCCGGCGGGCGGGGGGGGGCCTCCCCGCCGGAGCGGTGCAGCTGCAGGAGCTCCTGCGCGGCGGGGGGGCGGGCGCGCCCTCCGCCCACGGGGGAAAAGGCAAGTGGGCCCCAGGGACACGCACACACACGCACACACACACACACGCACGCACATACATATATATGTATATATATTTATGTATATATATACATCTATAGATTTACATATATAAATATATACATATGCATGTGTATATATATATATATGTATGCATACATATACACATGTATATATAAATGAGCGCACAAGTGCCAGGATTCCTAATATTTCCTCATGTTGTCCAGGTGTTCGTCTTCCCCCATCTTTGCCTGGGGTCGACGATGGCTTGTGTCTGTGTGTGTTCTCAAATGCGGCGTTTGCGATCCAGCTGCGGGCTCCAGCGGACGGCAGTCGTCCTTTGCACGCTCTGTTTTCCTTCCGCCACAAAGCCTCTCGAGGCACGATCAACGTCGTGGGACCGCGAGCACTCCTTTGAGCGTCCATGATGGAGAGCGGGCTCCTCTGGGCATTCTCTCGAGGCACACGCGCCCCCGGGAGAGAACAGGGCGGTTACTGTCCCACGCTGGCTCACAAATGAGACGTGCCAGTTCCGCGATGATCCTTGCGGCCATCGAGGCAAAAGACGAGTGGGCTGGTAGTCGACGTTGCACATGCGGAATGCACTGATTCGTCCAATATTCCTTGGCGTCTTCTTCGTTCCCCATCGCTTGCCGAATTGCCCATGGGGTCGCCAAATCCGTGACGTTCATGGTGACCTGCGTACGTTCCCTCCTGAGGGTCCCCCATGTTACAACTGTCCCCACGGCCATGACCATGCTGTCCACAAACGCAAAGCCCGAATCCGTCATGCCAGACTTTTTCTCTTGCACAATTGACCACATCCACTATGTTTCCACCAGGCTGGGCGGCTGTGACGTCTGCTGCAACAGGGAAGGTAAGCCTGGTTGCCCTGCTTCAATCGCAGATGAACGACCCGTGGCGTGTCCATAGGCGCGGCCACCAAATCAGTCTGGATTGGCGTGGCCACCAAATCATATAATTAACCATGTCACTGAACATGATATGGCGAACAAGCAAAAGAGCATCAAGATGAAGACGGTGGACATGTTGTATCGATCGCAGACCGAGCCTGAGCTCGCTAAAGCGAGGTGGTTTGTAGGACTTACGGAATATGTAGGGGTTGATGCACACGCCGCCGTCGCACTGAGCCGGTTCTGACATATGTCCACCGTGTTCTCCAATGCGACTTTCAGGACCCAGCTGCGGGCTCCAGCGGACGGGCGTCGGCCTTTGCACGCTCTGTTTTCCCTCCACCACACCCGCCACTCGAGGCACGACCAGCGTCCTGGGACCGCAGCCGGCACTCCTTTGAGCGGCCATGCAGGTGCCCCGTTGGGATGCTGCCGGAGCTACACGTGCGGCTGCCGAGCACATGCGCGCACGCCCTGCGCGGGCGCGTTCGCACTGCACCCCTGGAGCGGCTGTGCGCGAGGACGCGTCCCCGGTGTCTCAGCCTGCCCTGCTCGTCCCGGCCCTCCTTGCCGCTGGGCCCTCTTCAGTCAAGCCCGCGCTGCTCCTCCCGTTCCCCCCTCCGCTCCTACCTCCTGCCCCCCTCGTTGCCCTGGACGGATGCTGACAGCCATGCAGCTGCCGCTGCCTTGCCACGCTGCGCAGACCCATCTGGACTGCACATCTGGGAGCGGAGCTGTCCGTCGCTCTCTTGAAGCCCCCTGGGCGGCCTGGCAAGGCACCGTGCTGTTGAGAACCGACCCAGGCCTCGCTCCCCTGGACGCCACGAACACTACAGCTGTCGCGGCCTTCCCGCGTCCCTTGAGAGGTCAAGAGGAATGCTGCGGCACGTGGGCCCAATCTAGACCTTTCTGCCCTGGGAGCCGCCCATCGTAGAACTCCCTCAACTTTCAGGTCCCCCTGGAGGTCCTGTGGAGGGCCGGGCTACGCGGACCTGATTTGCACCGCGTTCCCCTGGGCAACCGGTCGCCAACCTCATGCTGCCAACAGTGCAGCTGTCCCCGCCTTCCTGCGATCGGGAGAAGGGATCCAGCGAGACGACGCGTTCCGCGGATCAAATCTGGACCTCCCTACCCCACGGGCCGCGCTCTGGGGGTCCAGCGGGGCTGTGCCGCACCGGCGTCCAGACGAGACCAGGTCCCCACTGGTCCTGCCAAAAATCTTGGGTCGGTCGAGCACGGCCCTCAGTATCTCTGCATAGCGAAGCGGAATGGAGCAGGTCGCCGAAGCTCTCTTGCGGAAGGTGGAACGTTGGGACCGCCAGGAGAAGACGTTTTAAAACGCACCCGAGAGATGCAGAAAGAAAGACACATAGACTCATTCGAAACTTGCCGCTGACACCGGCGATGTAGAGCCATGGTCGTACATATCCGCACACATCCGTAGAAACCCCCTGGAATCCCAGGGAATGTTCAGGAATCCACAGAAATTCCCAGGAAGGCCAAGGATCCCATCGGAATCTCACAAGTGCACCGCCCCTCTCCCCCTGATGCGATGCGATGCGCGCCCCCCCTCCCCCCGGGGGGCGTCTGCAACCCGTCTTTCTCAACAGCAACTACAACCACAACCACCACCACCACCATCACCAGCACCAGCAACACCAGCAACAGCAACAACAGCAACAACAGCAGCAACAACAGCAGCAGCAACAACAATAGCAAATGCAACAGCAACAATCATGTTAAGACTGTTCGCTCTTATCTGCTCGAGTGTCCGACAACGTGTATTTCCAAAACGCTCGATGCCCGCCCTGTTCGTTTTCGATCGACCCCTTTGGGGGTGTATCTGATTCTTCCCTGCAGACAGGACCCCGGCAAGCGGCGGGGCGGCCGCGAACCGTCGGCCTGGCAAGCGGCAGCGCTGATCGGCGGCAAGCCCACCCCAAGAGGGACGGACACGGGACCGACCACGAAGACGACGACAGCGGCGACGACGACGACGATGACGAGCGAAAGCGAGAGCGACAGCGGGGCCACGAGGGGCAGGGAGGGGGCAACGACGGGCGACAGCGGGGCCACGAAAGGCATGCGTATGGGGCCACGAAGGGCGCAAACAAGCGGGGACCGTGAAGGGCATACGCATATTGGGTCGCAGAGGGCAAGGACAGGGCCACTACGGGCAGCAACGAGGCCACGAAGGGCAGCGAGGCGGCCATGAAGGGCGACAGCGGGGCCACGAAGCGCATGCATATGGGGCCACGGCGGGCGCGAACAAGCGGGGGCCACGAAGGACATGCATGTATAGGCCACGAAACGCATGCGAGGGGGCCACGAATGGCTGCAACGCGGCCACGAAGGGGCGCAACGGGACCACAAAGGGCAGCGACGGGGCCACGAAGGGCTGCAACGGGGCCACGAAGGGCAGCGAGGGAACCACGAAGGGCTGCAACGGGGCCACGAAGGGCAGCGAAGGTGCCACGAAGGGCTGCAACGGGGCCACGAAGGGCAGCGAGGGGACCACGAAGGGCTGCAACGCGGCCACGAAGGGCTGCAACGGGGTCACGAAGGGCAGCGAGATCCCGATTTCTAAATAAGCTGTGAGGGAATCCTGAGTGTGAGCGCGACTCCTGGGTGCCTGACTGTCGGGAGCGCGGTGCTTGAGTAAAACCTTGAGTCCAACGCAAGAGCGCGACTGTTTAGTAAAATGCAAGCAAGTCTCCAGCGAGAGCGCGACTCCAGAGCGCCGAAAGCAATCCCCTTAATGAAGTGTAAGGAAGTCCCACGCGAGAGCGCGATTCCTGAGAAAAGCGCATGGCAATCTCAGAGGGAGCGGAGGTCCTGGCTAAATTGCGAGGAAGTGTTCAAGTGGAAGCCGTGGTTTTTGTAATCCGGGGGCCAACAACCCAGTTTGAGCCCCGTGACTTTCCCAGATCAAAAAACAGGGCGCGAGCCCTGGGAGGTGCACCTCAAATGAAAAAACACTATGGTCACCGGAGGGGGGGATCAACAAGTATTCTTCGATAGTGAGAGTTCATCGTTCATCAACAACAACAACAACAACAACAACAACAACAACAACAATCATTTAAGACTGGGGACACTCCGTTCTCACCAGTGCCAGGGTTTTCATAGGAGGCGGGCAATACCCCCACTTTGTGGGGGGGCCGGTTCAAGCTCTACCAAATTTCCAAACGACTCTTCGCCACCACCCACACCCAGCTTCCCGCCCTATGACGTTCGGACACTTCACTTCGTGGCATGCGGACGACCGTGGCTACTATTCAGGGCCCCGCGGCCGACGACGACGGCGTGCGCGCGCGAAGAAAAAACGAATGTGTCCCGCATGGTATTATTTGACAGGGATGATGGCCCTGGCAGGTGCGCAACCGTTGTCGCAGAAGTTCGAAAAAGTTGCTCGCAAAAGCCCGTTTGACAGAAATGTTTAAAAAGTGTTGGGTTTCCTACGAATCCGCAAGAGCGCGCGGGATGAGATTTTGACATTTTTTTGTTGAAAAACCATTGGTTTTTTGATGTTTTTATGTTAAAATCGCTCCGAACACTAAGCTTTTGGAAGGATTTCGTCTTGCGCGCGCGAATGTCCACTTTACCTTATTTTTTGCAAGGGATTCTTGAAATTTGATTATATTAGAACAAGAAATGTCATTTTATAGTGTTTTTTGCAAGGGAAAGCGGGGGGGAACAAAACAACCGGATCTTGATCACATCGAATTACCTGAGGCTTCCTCACGAAAATGATGAAAATGTAGCTGCGGCCTAGGCGGCGCAGGGGGGCCGTGCACCAGGGGTCCCAACAATAATTATTCTTTAGAATTAATAATGTTCAACAACAACAACAACAACAACAACGCCACGCAGCCAGGCACAGTGGATGACCGTTCGGCCCCCTCACTCTGATCTCAACATCCCTGGTGGCCTCCGGAGGCCTCCGTAAAGGCCTCCACAGGGACTCTGGAGGCTCAACGAAAGCAAGCTGCATCCGAGAGCCTCGATCCTCGAACGTCGGGCCTCGATGGACGACGGCGACGAAGACGACGACGACGCCGACGCCGACGACGACGACGACGACGACGAAGACGACGACGCTGACGACGACGACTTAAATCGGCGCAGGCTCGCGCGCGCGCGTCCGTCCTGGAGGTGGACCGCCTGGACCGCCCGGAGCTCCTCGTCCGTCAGGGCCCCTCGGGAGCGGAGCGGCGGCGGAGGCCGGGCCGGCGGAGGCCAGGGCCACAGGCCCATGTGACGTCGTGGGGGCCATGTCGAGTGGCTCTGGCTCCAGGCAGGATCCATCGAGGCGGCCGGCAATGAGTTCTTTGCGGTCCACAGGGCTGCGCTGGGCTCCACTGGGCTCCATTGGTGTCCGTTGGCTTCCGTATGTGTCCAAGGCGCGCCAGCGGACGGCTTGAACGTCCACTGGGCTCGATGGGTTCCAGTGGAGCGCATTGGACCACGTAAGGCTACATTGGACGCCATGGGACTCTGTAGGACTCCATTGGGTCCCAGTCGTATCCGTTGGACTTCAGTGGGTTCAACTCAACTCCACTGGCAGTTTGAAGAGTCAACGCGCCTCCGCACCAGCCAATTGAATTCCATATATTCCATTCGGTTATATTGGGCACAACTGACTTCATACGACTCCATTGGGATCGTGGGACTCTCCATAGGACTCGAATGGACTCAATACTTGTCTACTGGACTCCATACGACGCCATTGGGCTCCGTTGGGGTCATCGGAACCCGTTAGACAAGACTGCGAATCCAACAATCCGGTGCCCCCTGGGAGTGGGACCGGAGTCCTTCAAGAGGGCCGCCGAACAAATAAGTAGTCACCCCCTGTCTGGGAAGGGATCTGAAGACTTATCGCGGTTCTTTGAATGCAGAGGGATGGAGAAGGGGAAGGGGGAGGAGAAGGGGAGGGGAGAAGGGAGGGGGAGGAGAAGGGGAGGGGAGGGGGAGGGCAGAAAGGGAGAAGGGGGGGAGGGGGAGGGGAGGAGGGGAGGGGGAGGGGAGAAGGGGATGGAGAAGGGGGAGGGGGAGGAGAAGGGGGAGGGGAAGGGGGAGGATGCAGGAGGAGAAGGGGAGGGGGGAGGGGCAGGAGGAGGGTGACGACGAGGAGGAGGAGCAGGAGGAGGGGAGGGGGAGGAGGGGGAAGAGGAGGAGGAGGACGAGGAGGAGGACGAGGAGGAGGAGGACGAGGAGGAGGAGGGGGAGGAGGAGGAGGAGGAAGGGGATGAGGAGGAGGAGGAAGGGGAAGAGGAGGAGGAGGAGGAGGAGGAGAAGGAGGAGAAGGAAGTGAAGACGCTTCGCGGCTGCTGGCCTCACATCCCCAGGCCCCGGGCGCCCACTGCCCTTCCAAGAGCCACTGCCCCCTCCCGTACAAGAGTGGGAGGGTCCGCGGGCGCTCCCGCCCATGGACCAGTCCCGCGAGTAGCGCTCCGCGCATGCACAGTCATCGTCGTCGTCGTCGTTGCCACCGCCGCCGCCGCCGCCGCCGCCCCCGCCGTCGCCGTCGTCGTCGTCGTCGTCGCCGTGATCGTCGTCGTCGTCGTCTTCGTCGTATTGGTCGTCGCCGTTTCCCTCCTCATCCGCTTCAGCCCGTTCCTCTTCATCCTCGTTCCTACTTGTCCACGTTCCCAGTGCTCCCTCTCCTCCTGGTTCTCCGCCCCTTTTCCACCTCTGCCCCCTTGGGGGGTCAAAACGATACCGATACCGCTGCACTCTGGACCTCGCCGAGGGTGCGTTCCGAATTGGATTTCGAAACGGCTCCAACCGTTGCAAGGATGGATGGGTAGCGGTACCGGTATGGGACCATCCCCTCACTCCTCCCCTTCTCCTTACCTCCCCTCATCGAAACCTTTGAGCTCTGGAGACTTGCGGGACAACATCCAGAAACTGTCAGGTGCCCCTCGAGAAAGTCTCCCTGAGGCACCCCGACAGGCCCGACGCAGACCGCCGTCGTCGCCCTCCTCCTCCTCCTCCTCCTCCTCCTCCTCCTCCTCCTCCTCCTCCTCCTCCTCCTCCTCCCCCTCGATTCCTCTTCCTCAGCACCAGCACCGTCTTCCAATCTCCTCCTTCTCGTCATCGTCGCCCTCTTCCTGGCGCGCACTCCATGCCCCCAAGTACGAGTGTGACACGGAGGAGCAGCGCGCGCGAAAACGCATCCGCCGCTCCCAGCCCCTAGCCCAACACGTCTGCCCAGGCCTGTAGACAGGGGTGGGGAGGCAGCCGCCCATGAGTAGACAGCACGTGTGTGCCCCAGGTTGTGGTGTGGGGGGGGGGCGGGGGGCGAGGCCTTGCAACCCTGAGCTTGCCTTGTCACATCTGAACGCCCCAGACTTGCGACACGACCAGCTCCTGATGGATATGGTGCGGCATCTTCCTCTTCCTCCTTTTCCTCCTCTTCCTTCTCCACCTCCTCCGCCTCCTCTTCCTCCTGTCGCGTGGCCTCGGTTAACGAGTCCTGGGTAGACTACCTGAACAGATGGCGACGAACTACTGCAAGGCCTATCGCCTCGTCGAGCTCATGCGGCCGCTGCACATGATTGGACCTAGCTCGAATGCCGCCGCTCAAGATCTACACGTGTGCTGGCACGCGCGGACTCCTCCTCCTCCTCCTCCTCCTCCTCCTCCTCCTCCTCCTCATCCTTTTCCTCCTCCTCCTCGTCCTCCTCTTCCTCGTCCTCCCCCTCCTCCTCCTCCTCCTCCTCCTCCTCCTGCTCCTCTCTCCTCCTCCTCCTCCTCTCCTCTCCTGCTCCTCCTTCCTCCTCCTCTCCTCCTCCTCCTCCTCCTCTCCGCCATCAGCGCAACATCAGCTCCGCCCTCCCCCCCCCTCGCCGTCGCGCGGCACCGCCGCGACGGCCGCCCCGCAAGCGGGCGACGGCCTCGCAGCGCGGCGTCGCTCCCCGCGGAGTCGCCGGAGTGTTCCTGCAGGAGCTGGCCGAAATGCCTCGCACGGCCCCCGGCGGGAGGAGGAGCAGGAGGAGGAGGAGGAGGAGGAGGAGGGGGAGGAGGAGGAGGAGGAGGAGGAGAGGGAGGAGGAGGAGGAGGAGGAGGAGGAGGAGGAGGAGGAGGAGGAGGAGGGGAAGAGGAGGAGGAGGAGGAGAGGAGGAGGAGGAGGAGGAGGAGGAGGAGGGAGGCGAAGGAGGAGGAGGAGGGGGGAGGGGGAGAAGAGGAGGAGGAGGAGGAGGAGGAGGAGGAGGAGGAGGAGGAGGAGAGGAGGAGGACGACGACGACGACGACGCCTCCCGCGGAGTCTTGGGAGTGCTCCTGCAGGAGCTGGCGGAAGTGCCTTGCACGGGTCGAGACTTCCGGGGACCCCGCATTGAACAAAATCGCGACGCCGGATCTCTGGGGCTGGCGCGGCAACCACCGGGGCCCGGATCTCTTAATAGGCGGCGCGCCTGGGGGGGAGGTGAAATGGGGCAGGCCTTCTCAGAAGGCTCAGAAGTCCCCCGGCCTTCTGAGAAACTTTCTGAGCCTTCCCCGAGGGCCCAAAAACAAAAATCTCAGAAGGCCCGGGGACTCCTGAGCAGCCCCGCTGTCTTCTCTGAGAAGGCCTCCTCCATCTCGCTCCCCCCCTCGCTCGACGCCTCTCGGAGGGACACGTCTTCGGCCCAGGCGGGAGACATCGCGCAACCACAGCCTGTGAGGGCTCTCTGGCTTCGTCGGGCCCCCGATCGCGCCGCATCACCGCTGCGTCGGCGACGCCGCACCGAGGGAACGGGCCCCAGACACCCCTCGGGCGTCGCCTAGTGGGGGGGGGGGGGGCGTCGCCCAGTGGGGGGGGGCGGAGCGAGAGGCATGGATGGGGGAAGGGAAAGGTGCACTTCTCGGCCGTACACTTCGGTCGGGCATGTCCCCCTGCAGGCGGATCTTTGAGGAAGAATGCAAAAAATAGTCAAAACGTAGATCAGAATTTCCAAAAAATACTGAAAACATCGTTCCCAGACGATGACGATGTTTTGACTGTTTTGGGGTGTTCCTCCCGTTGAGGGGCGTGCCCGACTTAACCCCACAGGCCTCCTGCTGGGCCTCCTGCTGAGGCCCAGCGCGGAGGCGACGGTCGGGGCCCCGCGGCGGCGCGGCTTGCCCGCGCGCCCGCCTGGACGGCGTCGGCCCGGGTTCGGCGGGAACTCATCGGAGCCTCCCATACCATCTTGTCGGCTCTGGCGAATCGACGCTCGTCGACGCTGAACCGCCGCTACACAACGCTCAATCGGCGCCAACCGACGCGAATCGACGCCAGCTCGGCGCTATCTGATCGACTCAGAAGACGCTGATCGACGCCAGTCGATGCCAGAGACGGAATTGACAAGGGGAATCCCGAAGCTCCCACGACTTGTTTGCGACCGAAGCCGGAAACTGTTTCTTAATTAGTTTGGGTAACGGCTGTTACCCAGGGGGGGGGGACTGGCGGGTAACGGTAACGGCGGCCGCGGCGTGCGCCCGCCAGGGTGCGTCCGCGCCATCGGCACATCAATTGCCATACCTGCTGAGAGGAGGGGGGTCCGCCCTCCACCCCCAAAAAACGCACGATCGTTAGCGTTACCCAGGGGGGGGGGGGCGCGTTGGGCCCAGGCAGCAAGCCTTACCCGCCATAGAAAAAAACAGAAAAACACGCTCTCCCGGGTGGTGCCGCTGACACTGTCTGGGTCGGCCTGCCGGCGCGGGCGGCCACGAGTGGCGGCCGCGAGTGGCGGCCGAGGCGGCGGGTGCCACGAGCGGCGAACACCTCCGCAGCCGCGCCCTCCGCGGCCTCCGCGCCCGCCGGCGGGAGGGATCCCAGATCACCATCTGGGCGAGTGCGGAAACCCTGAGCCCAAAAACGTTTCCATCTCTTTTGAGCAGGGACCGACCGTCCTGGCATTTCTACAGGCCTACCACGGCATGCTCTTGGAACCCCAACAATGTTCTAAGACCAAAAACACGGTTCGTAGATCATAAGCCCGATGTCTTAAAACAAGACAGTCCCGGCCAGGCATGTTCTAAGCACATTTTTCGTGGCAGCCACAAACAGTTCTTCTTAGAACATTGCTTGGTAGGCCTACACGCGAGCCGCGACGCTTCGCCACTGCTTGACTCTTGGGGGCGCGTCTTTTACTTCCGCCGCGCCACCTTCTGCCGCCCTTCCGCCGCCCTTCCGCCGGCGGAGGCGGCCTCGTCTTCCTTCCGCCGCCCTGCCGCCGCCTGCCGCCGCGGCAGAGCGGCAAGGCCCTCTTTGGAGCAATCCCATGTGGATCCAGGTGAGCACCCCCCACGGTGATCCAAGTGTAGGGACCCATGGGGAGGTCAAAGACTGGCTCGAGATGCATCAACGGCCCTATGGGGAACGTGTCGGGACCTCCCCCCGGGCCCCAGATCTCAGGCGGTGTGACCTTGTCTGCGCGTTCCCTCGGTATCAGCTTCTAGGGGTACTTATCTGGCCCTCGGCCGTAAACAACGGGTCCTGGTCGGAAAACTACCGCGGGGGGAGGGTTCGGGAACTGGGTCACACAGACTGAAAAAATCACATCAGAGGATGTCAGGGAAGCGGGGGGGGGTGCTGGCGGTGGAGAGGAGGCTCCTGGGATGGTGCGCAATGCCAACGCAGAAGGCCTGCGTCTGGACAAACAAAAGCACCAGCTGGGCTGCCGCTCGAAACTCGGAGATCCGACATTCTGCGATCGAACTGCAACACCGCGACACATCGGAGGCCTGGACTCTGGCCTGGATCTCATTGTTCTACTGCATTCTTCGAGCCGGATCCATCTGCGGTGGTCGCGGGGCCCGGGCCCAGGCGAGAACGCCCAGTGTTAGGTCGGGTATGTCCTCCTTAGAGGGCCTGTGGAAGGACATGCCCGACGTAACACTGGGCGTTGATAGTGAGGATGATGATGGCGATGCTGGAAGAACCATGAAACACAGTCAAACAAATGTTCAACATAGTCAAAACATACAGATATATATATATATATATCATCCCGGGGCGATGTTTTGACTACGTTTGACTACTCCTCCTGTAGAGGGGCACGCCCGACCTCAGCCCAGTGCTGAAAAGCTGCAGGGCCAAGACCTGCGGAAGCGAGGTGCCCTTGCAGAGAATGGCGGCGCCCTATCGCTCGCAGAAGCCGCGACTGCGCGCCGGGCTCGGAGCCTTGCAGGGCTGCCCAGGATGAAGGGAAGGGCAGGGGGGGGGGCGAGGAGGAGGAGGAGGATGCAGGAGGAGGAGGAGGAAGAGGAGGGGGAGGAGGCAGGAGGAGGCAAGAAGAGGAGGAGGAGGACAAGGAGGAGGAGGAGGAGGAGGAGGAGGAGGAGGAAGAGGTGGGCCGCCGAAGAGGGAGGAGGCGGACCACGTGCGGCCAGAACGTCTCCACATTCGCGCCCTCGCGGTCTGAGCTCGGGGCTGCGATCGCGCGGACACGCGGTGGGGGGAGTGATTGCGCAGATCCACTGGTGGCATGGCCACGTGCCGCGCGGGGCCTCCGCGGCAGAGCGCCCCCATACCCACGGGCTCGCGGCCAAGGGGCTCGGCCCACGAGACCGTCCCGTTCCTCCTCCTCCTCCTCCTCCTCCCTCCTCCTCCTCCTCCTCCTCCTCCTCCTCTCCTCCTCCTCCTCATCCTCCTCCTCCTCCTCCTCCTCCTCCTCCTCCTCCTCCTCCTCCTCCTCCCCCCCCCCCCTTCTCCTCTCAGAGGCGTCTCTCGAACAAATGTATACACTGCTCTCTCTCTCTCTCTCTTTCTCTTTGTTTCTTTCTCTCTCTCTCTCTCTCGAAAAGGAGGAGGGGGGCACAGGAGGGAAGCGGAAGGGGGGACGAGACGAGCGGGGCGCGCTGCCGGCGGACGAGGCCTCACGTCCTCGTCGTAGGCGCGCCACTCCTCCTCCTCCTCCGCGTCGAAGGCCAGGTCCTGGCGCCCCCGCCAGAGCCTGCTGTCCGCCCCCCCCCACAGACGTCCGACGTCAGGATCGCCCCGTGTCGTGCGCCCCTGGGACTGTCGAGCCCATCATCCCAGGGACAAGCTCTTCCGTCAAAGATGGTCGCTGGTGTGGTGGTCCTAGATCCCAAGACAGAGCCATCCAGGGCTCCAAACCGAGGAAACACCCGCTATCTAGATCTTTGTGTCGCGGCCGCCTGGGCATCCGCGCAGCCCAACCCCAGGAGAGAGTGACTGAGGCACCCGTCCTGAACCAGTCCCATGACCACTACTTCGGAGCGACCCCCACAGTTGCGACCAGAGGGCCCACGATGGCACTGAAAAACGTCGTCGTCGACGACGTCGTCGTCGTCGTCGACCCGTCCTCGTCGCCGCAGCCGTCGCCGCCGCCGCCGCCGTCGCCGCCGCCGCCGCCGCCGTCGTCGTCGTCGTCGTCGTCGTCGTCGTCGTCGTCGTCGTCGTCGTCGTCGTCGTCGTAGTCATAGTCGTCGTCGTCGTCATAGTCGTCGTCGTCATCATAATCGTCGTCGTCGTCGTCGTCGTCGTCGTCGTCGTCGTCGTCGTCGTCGTCGTCGTCGTCATAGTCGTCGTCGTCATAGTCGTCGTCGTCATAGTCGTCGTCGCCGTCGTCGTCTGCGTCGGCATCGGCGTCGGCGTCGTCGTCGTCGTCGGCGTTGGCGTCGGCGTCGGCGTCGGCGCCACCGTCCGAAGGCACAGGACGGGGAGGAGGTGGAGGGGGGGGAGGAGGTAGGAAGGGAAGGATGGGAGGAGAAGGAGCAGGAGGAGGAGGAGGAGGAGGAGGAGGAGGAGAGGAGCAGGAGGGAGGAGGAGGAGGGGGCGGAGCAGGAGGAGAAGGAGGCAGAATGAGGAGAGGGAGGAGGGGGAGGAGGAGGAGGAGGAGGAGGAGGAGGAGGAGGAGGAGGAGGAGGAGGAGCAGGGAGCAGGAGCAGGAGCAGCGAGAAGGAAAAGGAGGCGCAGGAGGAGGACGAGGACGTTGGGAAGGAGGAGGAGGAGGAGGAGGAGGAGGAGGAGGAGGAGGAGGAGGAGGAGGAGGAGGAGGAGCAGCAAAAGGGGGGGCAGAAGCGCCTCCTCCGCGAGCTCGGCCTCCAGCAGCTCCTCCTCCGTGAGCGGCGGCAGACACCCGGCGGTGTGCCGCCCCCCGGCGCGCCGTGCGCCGCGGGCGCCTGCGGGTCCTCTCGCCGCCGTCGGTCGGTGTGTTTGCGCGGCGCCGTGCGGTGGCCGCCCTCTCCTCCCCCTCCTCCTCCCCTCCTCCTCCTCCCTCCCTCCTCCCTCCTTTTCCTCTCCCTCCTCCTCCTCCTCCTCCTTTTCCTCTCCCTCCTCCTCCTCCTCCTCCTCCTCCTCCTCCTCCTCCGGCGGCGGTGCGCGCGGAGGCCGCTGCGGCCGCCTGGCCCCGCTCCAGGCCCCCCTCTCGCGTCGCGAGCAAGAATCGTGCCGAGAGGTGTTGTGCTGCTGTCGGCGTCCGCGGGCCCTCGCCGGGCCCTGGGGCCGTCGAGAAGACGACTCGGGACGAAGAACCGGCCCCCGTGATCTCCACATCTTCGGCCTCCTGGGGCCGTCGCCAGGCCTCGGGGCTGTCAAAAAAACAGGATGAAGAACCCGTCCCTGGGACAGCGTCCGGACTTCCAATGGCCACGTCATGACAAAAAGTCATGGCGTCGGGAGTCTGGGGCTGTGGCCTCCTATTCCCCCCCCCCCCCGGCGCCCTCCCCGGCTGCGGACGAAGGGCCCCCGGGGGGGTGAGAGGAGTGAGAAGATGCTGGGGCGGAAGCGAAGGGGGGGGGCGGCGGGGAGGGGGGCGAGCGAGGAGGAAGGGACGAGGAAGGGGCGGGGAAGGGGCGAGGGCATGGGGGGGTGGAGGAGGACCACCAGCTCGGGTGGGAGCGCAGCTCTTCTGCTGCGCGGGGTGCCAGGCCTCCTCCGTGCCGCCCGAGGCCGGGCCGCTCCCCGGCCCGGGGCCAGGGAGGTGTGCGGAGGGTAGGCAGGCCGACGGCCCACGGGCGGGCCTGCGGGCACAGGGGGGTGGGGGGGCTGAGGAGAGGGCGGGCGGCCCTGGACGCGCTGAGGCGTGGGTCCCCTTCCCCCGATCGGCGCCCACCCTTTTGCAGCGGCGCCCACCGCGGGGCGCGAGGGCCGCCGCGGCGTGCGCCCTCCCCGCGGGCACTCGCCCGGAGGAGCAGGCGGCGTGACGGGCAGAAGCCAGGAAAGACGATCACTTTTGCCAGCGAGCTGCGGGTCAACAGCGCGGCCGCGGGAGGCAGGGGCGACACCACCGCGCCGCCCGCGCGAGGCGACGGGTGCTCCTCCCGCCGGAGTGCCCCCCCCCCCCCCCCCCCCCCCCCCCCCCTCCCCGTGCTCGGCTCGAGACACCTCCGATCCCCAGCTCGGGGAGGAGGCATCGTGAACCTCCGCGCTGGAGGTGACCCCTGGTGGTGGTGGTGGTGGTGTGGTGGTGGTGGTGTTGGTGGTGGTGGTGGTGGTGGTGGTGTGGTGGGGGTGGTGGGGGGTGGTGGGGGTGGTGGAGGGGGGGGGGTGGAGGGGGGGGGACCGTCGCTGTTCTCTCCTCACAGGGGGTGTGGGGGAGGGGAGACAGACGTCAGACTAGGGCGCAGCGAAAGCAGTTACGTCGGTCGCCTTCGCCCGGCTTCTGCGGGGCCCAGGGGTTCTGGCGGGCGGAGACTGGGCTCGACAAATGCCGCGGGGATGGTTGGGTCGGGAGCGTGGACTCGTTTTTTTCTCATAAAAAAACACAAGCCTCGTGACTGCCCGAGACGTCGGAGGACGGACAGGAGGCAGGGGAGGAAGGGCACGGAGGACGGACGAGGAGGCTGGTTGGGGAGGAGGAGGAGGAGGAGGTGGAGGAGGAGGAGGAGGAGGAGGAGGAGGAGGAGGACACAGGAGGAAGAAGGGGGTCCGCCCTTCCGTCCCCCCTTCCCCTCGCCTCCGCTTCTCACCCCATCCCGAGCCTACCAGACCCTCCGCCAGTGTCTCTGAGAGGCCTCCCAGATGGGGTCGGAGTAGATGGGGTCGGAGGATCGCGACACGCATCGCTGATGCTTTGGCGATGCACCCTCGATGCATCGGCGATGCACTGGCGGCGTCGGCGCTGCATCGGCGTGGAGAAAAGCGGGCTCCACATCGAGCCGCATCGCCGATGCATCGGCGATGCGGCACGATCCCTCGACCCCATCTGCTCGGACCCCATCTGGGAGGTCCGCCAGAGCTTCTCGTCCCATCCCGAGCCTCCCAGACCCTCAGTCGGCATCCCTTCCCCTCGCATCCCATCCCTGCCAAAGCCTCGGCCCTGGTGCCTCCTCCCTCCTCCACCCCCCTTCTTTGGACGCCCGAAATGGGCACGGAAAAAATGGGTACAATGCCCAATAGCAAATGTTGTCCCGAACCAACAGCGGCCGCTGTTGGGCAGGCGGCCTTCTGTCTCAAATGAACACAAGCCGCAGCGCGCGGACAGCGAGTCCTGTTCAAAATGAACAGGAACTGCTGTTGGGCATTGTACCCATTGTTTCTGTGCCCATCTCGTGCGTGCAGACCTTCCGCCTTCGCTCCACCCTGCCGCATCCACTCCCTCCCCGCCCCCGCTCTCCGCCCTCGCCGCCCTGCCCCGGGCCCCCCCTGAGCTCGCTGCAGACACGCAGTCCGGCCCTCAGGCGGCGTATGAGGAGGAGGAGAAGGAGGAGGAGGAGGAGGAGTAGGAGGAGAAGGAGGAGGAGGAGGAGGCGGGAGGAAGAGGAGGAGGAGGAGGAGGAGGAGGAGGAAGAGGAGGAGGAGGAGGAAGAGGAGGAGGAGGAGGAAGCGGAAGATAATCATGGCGCACTCACGGCGCGGCCCAGCCAGTACTCGAGCTCACGGCGCGCCAGCGCAAGAGGGCGCCAGCATAGCACCCTCACACCATGAAAAGTGATAAGGCGGGTCGAAGCATAAGGGAAGCACGACCAGAAGCCCTGAGAAAGAGAATATGCAACCGGGACAGGTGTGAGAGCACGGCCATACGCATCTTCATCGTGGCCGCCCTGGCCAACAATGCAGCCAGCATTGAGGCGAGAGGACGGTTCCTGAATCTGTTAGCCAGCGCTGACCTCAAACAGGTACCTCTTGCAATCTGTGCGGAGCAATTTAGGTGGTCCAACCGCTGCGGTGCAATATCAGTGGTGCCATACATGTGGTGCAATCTGTGCTCTGCGAAGCAATGAATGCAATACAATGCAACACGACGCAAGCAATACAGCATAATGCAATGCTACTCAACACAACGCAATGCGGTGCAAAGCAATGCAACGCAACGTAAAGCAAACCAACGCAGATCAACGCAGCGCGATGTCATACAAAGCGATGTAGCGCGATGCAAAGCAACACAAAGGAATGCAACACGATGCCAAGCAGGGCAGAACAAATGCGGCTGCAGTGCAAAAACGATATCCAACGGCGACGAGCGGCGACGGGCGGCGACGAACCGACTCCGAACCAACAGATGCCAGCGGCGGCGGCGACGACGGGCGGCGACAAGCCGGCTGGACGGGCACCGTCCGAACGGAATCAAGCATCCCTAAGTGCAAGCACTCTTTGGGAAGGTTGCGATGAAGTCTGGGCTCTTCTGTCTCCTTTTTGCCTCCACTCCCAGGCATGCAGTGTCATGGTTTCTGCTGTATGGGATCCCCAGAAGTCCCGAACCATTCCCCAGGAACGCCGTTTCAGCCTGAATCGTTACGTTGACGACCCTGGGGCCCCGCGAGAGCTCCCAGGGGCAGAGGAAAAAGCAGCAACAACTCCCGTCGCGATCTCGCTACGATGGAGTCATATATGGGTGTTAAAACTCCTCGAGCCAAGCCCTGCCAGGTAAAAACCAGGAGGCCACCTCCTCGGGCGGAGCCCCCGGGCAGGCCGATGGGAATAATGTGGGACGCACAAGGGCGTACTGGGACTACGTGCGTCCGGCACGAACACCTGATTAACCATCTTGCAGTAGATCGCTCCCCGAGCGGTGTGGCCAAACGTGCGCCCGCCACAGAACTCATCCTACAAGATGTCTCGGCGCGCGCGCGTCGCCCATGGGTGGGCGTCGCCCGTTTGCATTGACCTCCGTCTCTGGCGTCCCAAAGGCACCCGCTCCAGCGGACCTTGAGCAGGGACCGACCGTCCCGACATTCCTAGGGGCCTAGCACGACATGTTCTTAGAACCCAAAAAAAGGCGACAGGTTCTTAGAATCCCCCAAAGGGTTCCAAAAACAAAAAAAACGGCTCTTAGAACAGAAAGCCGAAATCTCCAAAGAAGAAAGTCTCCGCCAGGACTGTTCCAAGAGCATCCCGTGCAGACCACACAAAAAGGTTCTTGGGGTAATCCTTGGTGGGCCTACAGGCAGGCCTGGACGCTTCGCAACTGCTCGACGCTTGCAGTGGCCCTGAGGGGCGCCAACTCCCAGGCACCTCCCCCCTGGCAGCGGGGCCTCTCCCCTCGCCAGGGGGGCCATGGGCACGAGAGGCCAGGCTGCATGGGGGAAGTGGGCACTGCGGGACGGGGACGGCCGGCCATGCCGACGGGGAGGGGAGCCCAAGGGGGGGGGTGACAGGGCCGAGGGAGAGGGGGGCAGGGTGAGGAAGTGTTTCGTTCTTTCCGGTCGCTGGGGGCCCCTACCAGGCCTCGGGACCGCCAAGAAGTGACTCAGGATGAGAAGCTGGTCCTGGGGAATGGGCCGGGACCTTCGGGGGGCCGACGGCACGACACAATCATGACGTCGGGGGTCTGGGTGAGGAGGCGGTGAGGAGGAGAGCGAAGGCTGGGGGGATGGGGGCGGCGGAGAGGAGTGAGGACGCGGGGAGAGGGGGGGGGGGGGAGCCGTGGCGGCGGCGCCCGGCCGAGCCATCGGGGAGGGGGGCCCCAACAGCGTGCAACAGCCTGTGCGAAAGTCACTGGGTGTCTTGGGTTGTGTTGTTCCCATCGCATTTCAGGACCACGTCCCAGAAGTGTTTTCGAGCACCCAGAAAAGTGCCGAAACAGTGTCGAGCGAGTATCGTCCCCCAGGGCCCGACACGTGAAAGCCTTCACATTTCGGTATCCCCTTGGTGCTCGAAATTCTTTCTGGTGATCAAGGCTAGAGTAGGTTGGAACGTCGTGGGTCTTGGGCCTCTTGAGGGTCGAGGTGGGGCTCCAGGCGGCTCTGGGGGTCCTGCAGAGGGTTCCTCCAAGAGGCGGCCCCCGGCCGGCGCACGGGCGGCCTGCCGAGCAAGCGAAGAGGGGTCCCAAGAGAGGGGGGGGGGCCATGGCCGAGAGAGAGGGGGGGGGGCAGGCTGCCCAGACCCCCATCGAGTCAATAGGGGAACAAAAAGTGACATAAACATAAAAACTCTGACCTCCGCGCGGATTTCTCGGATCCACGCTGGGACCCCCTGGCGGCGCCTCCGGCGCC